CCGCTGTTCCATGTGTCCATTCACACATGGAGCAGTGGCTTGGCTCCACCCCTCTCACTTCTCACTGGTTGACTGGCTGTGATTGACAGCAGTGGGAGCCAATGGCTCCCACTTGCCGTCTCAGCCAATGAGGAGGCAGAGACTTGGGACAGTTGAGACTGTCATTCACATCGCTGGATTGCGATGAGGCTCAGGTAAGTATTCAGGGGGCTGGGGGAGCTACTGCACACAGAAGGTTTTTTACCTTCATGCATAGATTGCATGAAGGTAAAAATCCTTCAGCCTTCACAACTACTTTAAGGCTCAGTTCACACTAGTGCTGGTGGAAGTCTCTGCAGGACCCGTACTTTGTCCTGCAGATGCAACCACCCGCACACAAAACACAGGACATGCGGGCGGATGTCATAAATCCTAATGGCGTGCCGCCTGCACTGGAAATTGCACCCGCCCTGGGAACTGCACTGAAGTACGATTCCCAGTGCAGGCTGCGATTTCTGGAAAGGTGCCGGGACCTTTTCCCTGCATTTTTTGCAAGGCACGACAGCCTATTCAAATGAATGGCATGCAGCGTCACAGCCCACAAACCGGCACTAGTGTGAACCAGGGGGGTGAAGGTGGGATTAGGTCTACTGTTCTATATAAACCAGCCATCTACTTATTCAGACAGCACTAGTCGATTGTCCTGGATGGATGCAGCAGGTTAAAAAGCTTTCTCTGATCACTAGTTTCCTCCTGCACATACCCAATCCCAGAGCTTTCAAGTCAACTCTCCCTCCTCCTGTCCCCCATGCTCTCCATAGAGTTAAACTGTATATTTGGCTGAGCATGCATTTCTCTGTCACTGCCTGTACTGTGTTTTGCCTGAGGGTTTGAGCTGACCAGCCTCTTAAGTGTATGAGTGGGTTTTAAGCAGCCAGATGACATTAATTAAAGATAAATGTAGTAATATATAATTAATAGGTTTGTGATAGTTTAATTAATTTGGTTCTTAAATTTGGTGTTAATTTTTTTTTTTAGCAGATTGATCCCTTTTAATAGATAATTTGATAGATTTACCATTGATTTGTTTTTTGCTTTCTCATCGACCATTTGTTTACATTAACTCAATGACATAATTAGTGTTTAGACTAATATAATTATTAGACTAATATATTTTATGGTGATTACCAAAATTATCAAATCACATATACAAATGTAGGTTAAAAAGACAGAGCTCAAAGTAAAGTATGTGGAATAGCATAACACCTTAAAATCTACACTACACAATTGTTTTCTGACTGTAAACAATTGTTTTTTTTTTACATCATGTGATCTTCTTGAAGTGGGCAGAGTCTTCAACAGCAGCATTATTTTTTTTACTGGATTTTTGGAGATACTTTTGCAGCTTGCTGGCCATATGCACTGCAGTCTTCTGAAGTTTTTGAGCAAATTATAGAACAGCTTTTTATTTCTCTTTTTGGAATACAGTTTGTTGTCTGTGGAAGAAACTTTTACCTATCTTTAATTGGTTGCTATACTGTTCTTAATATCAAGTTGCTTTGTATAGTGTGAAAAAAAAAATGTAGTATTTAATTTTACTTAAGTATAGTCGCATTTATTTTATGATCTCCAATACACTCATGAGTTTGAGTACCTTCAAAAATCATGTTTCACAAGAGCATGTTTTAAAAATCCTCTTTATGTTGCCAATTAGTATCCTAGTACTTCTGAGATTCCTCATAGTGACCCCCGGCCTCCAGGTACGTGGGTGCCCCCCGTTCTTGCTGAAAGCTATGGAGTCCCGCGGGAATCTCCAATGCATGCACTCTACTGTTTAGAGCTACAACCTCATGTGCAGCTGTTCTCAAGAGGGACACAGAGCCGAAGTCATGCTGACTCGAGAGCCACTGTCAGTCACTGCAGTGGAGGAGGAGAGGTGTGGCTCCAATTTTGCATTTCTCTTGCTCTGTGCATGCAGTGCTGGGAATGGAGCCTTACACATGACTGTAATTCTAAACAGGAGAACTCACATAGTGGAGACTCCAGCAGGACTCCATAGGTCCCAGCAGGCAAAGGAGGGAACCCACATACCTAGAGTCAGGCAGTGTGGCTGGTGGAGAAGGGGTGGTGAGTACGAGCAGGAAGTTCAGAAGAAAAAAAAAAAAAGCAAGAATATGTAAGTTCTGCTATGAGAAGCTCATTTAGAAAAAAAACAAAAACCTTAAAGTGGAATTCCAGGCCATAACTATAATGTTAAATCTGCTCCCACTCCCCTTGTAACTCCTATCCTAACTACCCTGTAGCAGGAATATGCTTCTACTTACCTATTCTCAGGACATTCCGCCTGGTCCCTGACCCTAACCAAAAACACAGCACACAGCATTTGAGAATGCATAGATGTGAACGGGTCCCATAGGAAACCATGTTAAATGGACTGTAGCAAGTCTCTGAAAATGCAAAAAGCACAAAAAAAAAATGCACAGGTGTGAACCAGGCCTTAAAAGGAGAGGATGGACATTTGACAACTGATGCCCCATGCTAAGCCTATGGACGACGTCACCATCAAAGCATTAATTACACCTCTTGCCGACGCTCTCTCTTCTCCCAGGACACGGTTACTGAGCAGATCACATGAACGGACTGAGGCACCCTGAGAATAGGCAAGTATAAGCATCTTCCCTTTCACAGGGTAGTTGGTTGAGTTGATAAAGTTAATTTAAAGTGGAATTCCAGATTATAACTACAAGTCAGCTTTCTGAAAACATCACAACACCCTGCCTCAGCACTCCTCCCAAGTGCCCGATGCAAGAAGTGGACTTGTTCTTGGAAGGAGTTATAAAAATATCAAAATGCCTGCAAGGGTGGGTGCCTAGACTGTATTTGCATGCAGATTTCCCTAGGTAAAGCCACAACCTACACAAATGAAAGAAGTTAAATCTAATGAAGGGGTGGGCTAGGGACAGTAAGACTGGGGAGGAAGGAGCTAGATGATGTTGGCCATTCTTCAGCCAGGAGATGAGGTTGGTTCTATCTGACCTGCTGCTAATCATAATGATTATTGTGAGAAGCTCACAGTGTGTAGTGAAATCATAGTAAGCAATTTCAGTACAGCAGAGGAACCTGTACAACTGTGCAAGACTGAAGGCAAGGATGGTAGAGTTTAGCTTTAAGTCTTCAGAGATGTAAGCTTTTAGAATGCCTTAGATTCTTTCTTTGGGCCTTATACAGTTATACACAAAGTTACAAGGAGGAGCAATAAAATATAAATAGTAGAAAGAAAAAAACACTACAACACAGAAAAAAACAAAACAAAAAAAAAAACACCCATGGTTTTCCCCTAGCCCTGCTAGTTTAGATTATATATAACTGTACTAGAATGCTGGTACATCCACAGGCTTAGGGCCTATTCATAGTTTCGTACATCCGTTTTCATTCAGCAAAACTACACTTACACTTGCTCACAATTAAAAATTGCATTTTTTTCCATGTGGTTGGTTCACATCTATATGCTGCATTTTAGTGTAAAAGGGAAATACTGCAGGCCCATTCACATTCACGCATGTGTGTTACCAGCTGCATGCATACAGAACAATGTGAATCCAGACTTTGTTTGAAGTCCAAACAGACAGCTAAATACACAGCCTGTAATAAAAGTATCAGGAGAGTGTTTAGGACAAACTGCATGTATACTTTTTCTCCTTTGTCCCTAACTTAGCCCACCTTCCCCCCTTTCAGAGATGCGTATTTACCTCCATCAGAGGACTGTAGCTGCCAGAATTTGTTTGCATCCAGTGCCCTTCGTAGCATTCTCCTGATCAAACATGTGCATCACAGTCCTATATACGTCTATGAGACTGTGCCCCGAAACTGGCGACAAAGGAAGACATCCTTAGAGAAGTCTATGGGGCTGTAATGAACATGTGTTGTCAGGAGAATGAGACTTGCAGTATTGGATGTAGACAAACACCATAGACCACAGCTGTCAAACTGAGAAGAAAGGAAATGGGCTGTCCGTCTAGGTCAGGGTACAGTGGCAAAAAAAAAAAAAAAAAAGTACACCATCTTAAGTGCAGCAGCACATTGATGAAGCCATTCCTCTGCTCACCCTTTCTTCTCCTCCTTTCAGCTATCATGACATGTACCCTTTACACATAGCTAGATTAAATTGAACTTTTTTGTTTTCTCATCTACCTATAGTTCAGCTTTACAGCTGAACCAACATGACCAGTTGAAATAAACCTGAAAGATTTTGCTAGGCAAGTGGGTGAAATTATCTAATAAGTGCAGTTTTATGCAAAATGGACAAATTAATAATTATTCAATGTATGCTAATCAGAGGTTCCCAATTTGCTAGCCAATTGTTGCCTTTGTCCATGCAGGAATGACTGAAAAACCTTCACACTTCCCAGTGGAATGTGCACTCCCCACTGCCAAGAAGACTCTAAAGTTAAGCTGGGTACACACGGTCCGAATATTGGCTGATTCAGCAGGAACTGCCCAACATTCGGACCATCCGTACAGCTGTCCTTCTGACAGAAGCCGGTCTAAGGACCAATAGCGGGGGAAGGAGGGGAGACAGTCCCCCTGTCGAAACACAGTAGCTCAGCAGGGGAGATCGTCGCACTAACATCACTTAGACCTCACAGTATTTTTTCCGTTCAGCCCACTGGGTTGAAAAAAAAAAAAAAAAAAAAAAACACACACAAAAAGTAAGGGCCAGTGGCTACAAGTGCTGATTATAGTGCTCTGGTGGAGGAGGGGGGAAGAGAGGAGGGGGAAGAGAGGAGGGGGGGAAGAGAGGAGGGGGGAAGAGGGGTGGGGGGGGGGGGGGGTAGTCCCCCTGTCATAACACACAAAGAAAGAGCAGGAGAGATCGCTGTACTAAGGTCGCTTAGTGAGTACAGTATTCAAAAAACCTGAATGTGTGTATCTAGCTTTTGGCAGTAGCTAGAATTTTTATTTAGCCACAGGGGTTACCTGACTCCTGGGATTTGTATAGCTCACAAACACACACTTCCATTTTAGATGAGGGGGTACATCATTAGACCTACATTCACTAGATACCTATTCATCAAAGCTATCACACGTACTTGTACACCTTCTCCTGTGAGTGCTGAACACGACTGAATCTGCCAGACTCTGTCCCGGATTGTGTGCAGGTTTAGACCCTCAGCAATTTCTGAGGCGGGTGCAGCTGTCAGTAAATCCTGTTTGTTAGCAAAGATCAGCACAGGGACTCCACTCAGTTTCTCCTCATCCAAGAGTTCAGCCAGTTCCTTAAAGAAAAAAAAATTAAACCCAATGGATATCAGGAGTAAGAGACTGTAAACTGAAAACTTTGAATATGGATGATCTAATCATAATGGCATACATCTTTGTGTTGATGCAATTTTACATACATATTTATAAATGCATGGTAAATAAAGATGGCAATAAAACATGAGCTAATGGTCTACTGATCAACAAAATTGGATTGCAGTCATGGAATGAAACCCCAAGTGGACGGCTTTTAGCGTGGCAAATTGCATAGGTTTAAAAACATTGCTCTATCATGGTTTCTGCAATATAAGCCACTGTTTCGTTTCCACTTTCACCTCTACAGTATAAGCATGCAACACTCCTGCAAAACACGTTTTCATGTTTATTAACAAATCCCAATCAGGAGGACCTCTTCTGGTGGTAGGATTGTGTACATATATCCAGCACCATCTGAAGGCTTTGTATACTTTCCCCTTACTTTCTGTTAAAATAAAAAATGCTTCAAAAGTGAGAAGATTCCTGAAATTATCCCTATTTTAGAAGGTAAACATCCCACGATGATCTCATTTTTTGCCACAATTTTGTTAAAATATGGAAACATGTCAGCACTGAGGGGGTTAAACGCAGAGCTTGAGAATGGTGTACTACATAGATAAAATGAACAGGTCATACATGGAGGGAGGAGAAAGTGAAGGAGATAATGTACAGGTCACAAAGTTGCATTATGGAGATGGAGGGGTGAATGTTTAATTATGCAGGATAAGGGAGGTGAGGGGTTAATATACAAGTCACATAGAAACAGCATTGGAGATATGATGTTTAGAAGTGATGGTTGGATTAAAAAAGGGTTTAAAACAAATTCCTGTGTCTCTGCAACAGAATGAATGGATCAGCAGCTGTAGCCTCTGTTCTATTCATTCTGTGCCCATCCATAAAGATTGATCTTTTTCCTTCCCCTGTTGCAAGGCGAAGGGGAGTGATCAGCACAGTAAATAATACCATGTGATTGCTGTGATGACCAATCACAGTGATCACATGGAACCCAGCCGCTCTGATCGGCTGAGTACAGTGCCTCTATGAGCCCCACAACCACAGGGTAGACTGGCCTCCTGACGGCTATTTATCCATTGCCGTTCATAAACAGTACTGGGCAAATAAAGAGCCACTGATCCGCTATTGATATATGTACCACAGTAAATAATCGGTTAAAGCGATACGAAGGGTTAATTTTATTTTTTTTTTTTAATAGTACACGTTATACGTACCTGCTCTGTGTAGTGGTTTTGCACAGAGCAGCCTGGATCCTTCTCTTCCCGAGTCCCCCGCAGGCTCTCCTGGCTCCTCATTTGTCAGGTAGCCCCCATAGGAAGCAGCTTGCTATGGGGGCACCTGCTGCTCCGTGTGTCCCTTCACACATGGAGCCACAGCTTGGCCCCGCCCCCCCCTCTCCACTTTGGCTGACTGGCTGTGACTGACACAATTTGTCCCGCTTGCGGAGGCCGAGACCCAGGACACATCGTAGATGCTGTGCACATTGATGGATCTCAATGGGGCTCAGGTAAGTATTGAGGGGGCTGGGGGGACTGCTACACACAGAAGGTTTTTTTACCTTCATGCATAGAATTTATATTACATTACATTTCAATATTATCATTCAACCAAATATTTGAAACGTGACTGGTCCTTTTTATAGTGGGCAAAATCTATAAGACAGCAATGTGCTAAGAGGTTTTAGAGACTTGGCTGCCTCCCAGGAAAAAAGTAGCTAACCCATCGCTAACAGCCCACACAGACTGACACAGCAATAAAGAAGACGGCTATACCAACCTGCCCAGTTTCTTCAAAGCGTTTTCGGTCTGCACTGTCAATTACATAAATCTGAAGCAAAAAAAAAGTGTATAATAAAATTAAATAAAATCTTTATGTAGATTCCAGTTCTTTCAGATATTAATTTGTAACCAATTTTGAAAACCATTTATCATTTTCCTTCCACTTCACAATCATGTGCCACTTTGTGTTGGTCTATCATATAAACTCCCAATAAATACATTTTATGTTTTTGGTTGTAACATGACAAAATGTGGAAAATTTCAAAGGTATGAATACTTTTTCAAAGCACATGTAGGTGTTAAATGACTCGAATACCTTAGTGCTGGATCAGTAGTCAAGACCTGACCATGACAATATACAACATGCATTTCATGTTATACTCTGCATGCTCATCATATTTATCCTGCCCACATTCTGGGGATAACATGTTGCTCGTGACACAACAAAGTGTATGTAAAACCACTCTAGAAACTTTTTAGTTTTAGTGAAACATTAAAAACACCCATCAATTTATTTTCTGCTATGTCCCATGGGGGAAATTTCACTTCACTTTCCTGGAGACACAGGAAGTGAAAGGAAATCTTTACAAAAAAGGCAAAAAATGTACCCTTTTAGACAGGTGTGGCTGAAATAAGTGTTCCTAGTGGTATATTACCCTTTGTCTTTTGTAACCTAAACATAGGTATACACACAGAATCTCCCCAGAAAGTCACAGATAGTAATATAAACATCACAGGAGTTCCAATCCCCAATCTATCCAAAACCCTAAAAAAACAATAATTAAAAAGACCCTGTCACCTACTTTAAAAAAATGCAAGAAAATACATTTTACATACTTAGCATTTTTCCTTTCTATACATTTTTTTTTAAATCCCTTTTAACGTGCCTATGAACTTGCTCGACAATTTAAGTAGTCAATTCCCTAGCATAGCATCCTTCCTCAATGTACAGTCCAGGTCCATTTATTGGGACATGGACACAATTGTCTAACATTTTTGGCTCTATACACCACCACAATGGTGAAATGAAACGAACAAGATGTGCTTTAACTGCAGGACTGTTAGCTTTAATTTGAGGGTATTTACATCCAAATCAGGTGAACGGTGTAGGAATTACAACAGTTTGCATATGTGCCTCCCACTTGTTAAGAGACCAAAAGTAATGGGACAGAATAATAATCATAAATCAAACTTTCACTTTTTAATACTTGGTTGCAAATCCTTTGCATCAAGTACAGCCTGAAGTCTGGAACGCATAGACATCACCAGACACTGATTTCTATCCCTGGTGATGCTCTGCCAGGCCTCTACTGCAACTGTCTTCAGTTCCTGCTTGTTCTTGGGGCATTTTCCCTTCAGTTTGTCTTCAGCAAGTGAAATGCATGCTCAGTCGGATTCAAGTCAGGTGATATGACTTGGCCATTGCATAACATTCCACTTCTTTCCCTTAAAAAAAACTCTTTGGTTGCTTTTGCAGTATGCTTTGGTTCATTGTCCATCATCACTGTGAAGCAGCGTCCAATGAGTTCTGAAGCATTTGGCTGAATATGAGCAGATAATATTATTGCCCGAAACACTTCAGAATTCATCCTGCGCTCTTTTGTCAGCAGTCACATCATCAATAAATACAAGAGAGAACCAGTTCCATTGGCAGCCATACATGCCCACAAAATGACACTACCACCACCATGCTTCACTGATGAGGTGGTATGCTTAGGATCATGAGCAGTTCCTTTCCTTCATCCATACTCTTCTCTTCCCATCACTCTGGTACAAGTTGATATTGGTCTCATCTGTCCATAGGATGTTGTTCCAGAACTGTGAAGGCTTTTTTAGATGTCGTTTGGCAAACTCTAATCTGGCCTTCCTGTTTTTGAGGCTCACCAATGGTTTACATCTTGTGGTGAACCCTCTGTATTCACTCTGGTGAAGTCTTCTCTTGATTGTTGACTTTGACACACATACACCTACCTCCCGGAGAGTGTTCTTGATCTGGCCAGCTGTTGTGAAGGGTGTTTTCTTCACCAGGGAAAGAATTCTTCGCTCACCCACCACAGTTGTTTTCCATGGTCTTCTGGGTCTTTTGGTGTTGCTGAGCTCACCAGTGCATTCCTTCTTTTTAAGAACGTTCCAAACAGTTGTTTTGGCCACGCCTAATGTTTTTGCTATCTCTCTGATGGGTTAGTTTTGTTTTTTCAGCCTAATGATGGCTTGCTTCACTGATAGCGACAGCTCTTTGGATCTCATCTTGAGAGTTGACTGCAACAGATTCCAAATGCAAATAGCACACTTGAAATGAACTCTGGACCTCTTATCTGCTCATTGTAATTGGGATAATGAGGGAATAATACACACCTGGCCATGGAATAGGAGAGCTGAGAAGCCAATTGTCCCATTACTTTTGGTCCCTTCACAAGTGGGAGGCACATATGCAAACTGTTGTAATTCCTACACACCGTTCACCTGATTTGGATGTAAATACCCAAATTAAAGCTGACAGTCTGCAGTTAAAGCACATCTTGTTCGCTTCATTTAATTCCATTGCGGTGGTGTATAGAGCCAAAAATGTTAGAATTGTGTCAATGTCCCAATACTTATGGACCTGACTGTATGTTAAAGCCCTCTCCTTTTCTGGAAATGTCCAGTTACTCTCTGTGCTGGGTGAGCTCCTCCGGCCCTCACCTCCCTATATAACCTTTTATAAAGCTACAGTGGGGAGATGAATGTAGGGGAACACTGTAGAGTGTCACGTCCAAGAAGTTAACAACCAGTAGCAGTTTTGGGGCTTTTGGATGTATACCAAAGGAGAGCTTTTACAAGTAAAGAACATGCATAAAAATATGATAAATACACATATAACCCCCAAGGAAGATTTTTGTTGAAATCTAGCGATGATGATTTTTAAAGACAGATTCCACAGCACCTATTAGGAGATTTTCAGAAGTTTTTTTTATGAAAAAAAAAATGGCTAACATGGAGGTTTATATACTAAAGCTGGAGAGTGCAAAATCAGGCTCACTTCTGCATAGAAACCAATCAGATTCCAGGTTTTATTGCCAAAGCTTAATTGAACAAGCTGAGGTTAGAAGCTGATTGGTTTTCTATGCAGAAGTGAGCCTGATTTTGCATTCTCCAGCTTTAGTAAATGAACCTCACTGTGTCTATGAAATGCCAATAGGCTGATCCTACCATGAAGACGTTTGAGACAATCACAGGTTGCAGCAGGATGTTCCAACATCCACATGGGAGCTACCAAATTATTGCTAAATGAGCACAGACCACATTTCTTAGTTTACAATATCAGCATGGCTCCAGCGATTAGTCTTTTCAGCTACTGACTTCTCCTAGAGAACAGAAGGCAGGCTTGGGCATTTTGTGTCCCATCTTAAACTGGCCATACACATACAGATTTCTTACATTCAGCTGCTAACACTAAACAGTGTGGATGGATAAATCTCTCAGTGCCAGCTATTATATTCTGATAGCAGGTACCCATAGCTGTCAGAATACCTGAATAGTGACTGCAGTCAACTTACTACAGTTAAATTATTTTCTGCCTGCCTACTTACATTTCTGAATCAAAATTTATTAAGCCACCCATGACTCAAACTTCGGCAGATTCATAGATTTTTTTTTTAAATTAAAAATATAGACTACAACACAATTGCTTGTTTATGGTTGACCATACTGACTGCCAAGCTGTCTCCTGAAACAGCTGTAAGATCTAGTTACAGTTACTCGGTGCAAATATTAGGAATGATTAGTTGTATACAAACAAATCCACCTAGTTTGTGATTTTTATTTATATCGGGTCAACGTCATATTTATTACCTTTTCTTTTGTGTTAAAGTGGATTTATGAATTGTACTGATAAACCAGAATACTTACAAGTACATCTGTATTCTCAAAATAATTCCTCCAGTACGGCCTGATTTTCCTTTGTCCCCCGATGTCCCATACATTGAGTTTAAACCCCTGAGATTGTACACTCTTAATATTAAATCCCTGAAAAACACAAAAAAAAGTGCATATGAAAATAATGGTTTAGCATGAAAGTGCAAGATGAACCTTAACAAAAATCATGGAAGGGGAAGCAGTCATTCACCAACTGAAAGGATAATTGTGACTGTTGCATATAGCAACCCAAAAGGCCAGTGATATTTGCAAATGATGCACCCAGTTTGAGTCTAGGTTGAAATTGCTGCCTCACAAAAGGGTAAACTCTTGAGTGATAATGAAGTTACCATATGGGCTGGCTTGGGATCTAAAGGCAGAGACACTCCTGTTTTAACTAAATTCTATACATTTGTTTCAGATAATGCAGTATGTCACACCTGGATGTTTGTTAGATTTATTCTTGAAGCACTATAGAGGATTAAGTATAATTGCTGAAAATGTTTCAGAAATTATGGTCATAGAAATTATATAATAAGATATGGTATTAGGAGTTTTTTTTCTGAAACAAACATGGAATGAATCTAAGATGTTCCTTGTGACACCTTTTTAAATTTGTATGTTACCTTTATAGATTACATTATATGTCACAATATGTGGATACAATACTTACCTGTGTGTACTTTGTGCAGCATGAATGAGGCCTTATACTCCTTAACAAAGGAGTCACAGGTGTTTTCATACAGCCGCAGGCAGCAACATGTGCAAACCAATGACAGGCTGACAGGCAGGCTATACGTCAGTGCATGGACATCCATGGACAGAGGAAAGGCTCTGGATGTAAACAATTTGCATCCAGGACCACTTTTTTGTACTAGTATAGATGTCAGTGGTCAGATGTTCATACAGCCACAGCCTCTGTCAGCCCGTCATTGATTTTTAGAGGCTGCTGCCTGTGGCTATATGCAAACTGACTCTCGGGAGTAGAAATCATGCTTCGTTGTATGGCCCTCTGCTGCCATGGGAATGAGGCCTTAAACTATTTTTTTTTTTTTTTTTTTTTTTTTAGTAAATATGTTGTTATGAGAGAAAGGTGTAGCCTGCCATTGACCTTCTTCTGAACTGCTAACTGCTTGGCTGTTTTGCGGATCCTCTACTTTTCTATGGTACTCACTCAGAACAATTAAGAAAATTAGAAATGTAAGAGAAAAGCTATAAATTAGGGTCTAAAAGCACTGAAGCCATAGGGTCAGCAAGACAGATAGGCAGACAGTATTTTGAAAAGTAGAAGCCAGCAACAATAACCCATTGGTATCCAAAGTACAAATAAACCCTCTTTGTGAAATCAGCAAAAGGGATGGCATTAACCCGTTCACTGTCAGAGCAATTTTCATGTTTTTATTTTTGAAAAATAAACTTAGCCCTGAAATGGAACAAACCCCAAAACATATTTTCTGAAAGCATAGGTCTTGGAACCGCAAAATGTAAGTAAAAATACATTAAGCTAGTTTTAGGGCACACAAAATGCAATACATTTGCCAATGATTTTGCAAAATATGAAAGACTAGATTGAAGTTAATAGACACCCAACATATCAAACCTTAAAATTGTGTTTTCCCATGAACTGGCAACAAACTTCAGTACCCTTTATTTTCCATAGGAGATGCTTTAAAAGCCCCTACTGGTCTTCAGTTTAGAGTTATGCAGGAACTCTGGTGCTAACTTTATTAATCTCACTCAAAACATGTATAGCAATCAATGTTTTCATGCATTAGGCATCCCAAACGTGTGCATTTGTGTTTCTATTTTCATGTATGTAGAAGTGGAGGGGCCTCAAAAAACATTTGGGAGAAGTATTTTATGTGCTTGGCTGTAAGATTCATTTTTTACAATTTATTTTATTTAATTTTTTTAATTCATCACGTAAGGGATACAAAGTTCCCTGTGTGATGATTTTTTTTTGGTGCAAGCTTCTCTTTATTGAGACACCAGGGGTCTAAAAGACCAGGATGTATCACCTTTCTCCAGTGAATCTAATGCAGTTACCGGGAGTTTTTTGAAAGCAATCAGGAGGCTTCCCAGCTCACAGATTGCTGTAATCTGACTTCTGTCTTGTTAGCTATACACACACTTCCAATGAATGCAGCCACCAGGAGTGTGTGTAAACCCCACTCCCCCACGGTAAGGTCCGTAAGGTGTACAAACCTGAAAGTAAATGGGTTAAGGTAAAACTAAGCCCCCCTCGTGTATAGCCCAGGAAGCTGGACTCTTAGCCTGTTTGATCTGCAATTGCCATGGTGCTGTACATGTGATCAGTTATGACACCAGCCACTTGATGGCTTGACAGCTTGGTTTAGAGCATAAGCAACTGTGACAGTTATTCTCAACATGCCTTGAATGTAACTGTTCTGGGACAGATAAATTGAGTTTAGTTTTGCTTTTAGAACGCTCACTGCCATTTTATTTCCCTTAAAAGTCACTTTTTTCATACTGTCCCTTTCATTGTCATGAACATTTATGAGGTACAATTCCTGAACTTTCAGCAGTGAATTTGTCATCCTGGCCATATTTACTACATTGCTCGGGCTACAAAGAACACAACCTGATACCTAAAAAATACTGGCAGGAACCACAAGACTATCGTTGCTGACCTCTCCTTGGGAGAAGGTTAGTTCCCTAGCTGCCTTGCTAATGTTTTGGTTTGATGCTTTTCGCATTATTCACCTGAAACAAGTATAGAAATAAGGAATTCTGACACTTTGTTGATGCTCAACTACATCATGCATGCTCTGGGTGTGTGACCCAAACAGTACTGAAGCCAGGCACAGCAAGGCGACACACAGTTTTAGATGGAAGTCCGCAATGGGATCCCCATCATGCCTGTTATGGCAGGTGTAGTATTATAAAGCAAACCAATCAGTTGTTAATCACAAAGAACCTAAACCCTAAAGTCTTGACACTGAACATAGCCATAACAGGGTGTTTACTGGTACACAATTGAAGAAGTGTTTGTGTTCCCACAGAAAATTATTTAAAGTAGGAGCTTGATTGTTCATAAACCATAACAGGCATTTTTTCCAACTAAAAGGTGTGGAGTGCTGAAAAAAAAAGGGGCAGAGAGCTGCTGTTTGAGAAAATTCTCGAAAAAAGTCATGTCTTGCTTTTCAGGCATTTATATTGAAGTCTATGGGGGGTGAAAAAAATCCCTCAATTCTGCCTGAAAAGTAGCTCATGTACTTTTTTGAGCAACAGGCGTTTTGCCACAAGTGACAGAACACACAGATGTGAACAAGGACTATAGAAAACAAGAGGATTTTCTTTTTTGAGTGTTTTTATAGCTTGTTGCTCTAAGTACAAAAATGCTCAAGTGTGAACGGAGCCTTACTGAATAGTTTGGAATTCCCTGTCCACAAGGAGGAGTGATGTAAGCTTAAAGCGATACTAAAAGGTTATTTTTTTTTTTTTGTAAAATAACAAACATGTTATACTTACCTGCTGTGTGCAGTGGTTTTGCACAGAGCAGCCTGGATCCTCCTCTTCTCTGGTTCCCTGCCGACATTCCTGGCTCCTCCTGTCGGGTGCCCCCATAGCAAGCAGCTTGCTATGGGGGCACCCGAGCAGGCTGTTTCCAAGCCGCTGCTCCGTTTGTCCGTTCACACACTGAACCGCGGCTTGGCCCTGCCCCCTCTCAACCTCACTGGACGACTGGCCATGATTGACAGAAGCGTGAGCCAATGGCTCCAGCTTGCTGTATCAGCCAATGAGAAGGCAGAGACCTGGGACAGCAGAGGCTGTTGTGAACATCGATGGATCGCCATGGGGCTCAGGTAAGTATTGAAGGGGCTGGGAGCAAAGCTGCACACAGGTTTTTTTACCTTCATGCATAGAATGCAAAAAGGTAAAAAACCTTGAGCCTTTATAACCACTTTAATAAAAGTCACATCAAGCATCTTGTTGCATCCACACGATGCAGGACTTTTATTTCAAAATTGTAAGAAAAGGTTTGCTTTGATTACCACAAGGCTGTCTGTGTCACTGACCTGTGTTGGAGTGATGTGACTTATATCCTCCGATGCCAACTGCTTTAGTAATGTGGTCTTTCCAGCATTATCAAGACCCAGGAGCAGAATCCGTACCTCCTGGTCTGGAGCACTTTTCAATTTACGCAAGATAGACAGCAGACCCTAAATTGGAAAAAAGACAGAAAGCAGAATTGTACGCATTATAGAAACTGAACAGTAACTTTCAACGTTATTTGTTTTATCATTACTTGCAGTCCTTATCTATGTGACCGAAATGTGTTTTTTTTTTGTTTTATTTTAAGAGAATAGAGAAATGGGCAAGAACGGGTTGAGAAAGTTGAAATGTGCATGAAATACAGCAAGTTCTTTTTAAATTGAATGTAAATTCTAAATTTTGATTCAACAAAGCAATTGCCTTCCAGGATGTGCTCTTAGTATTTGCACTCCAACAGACTGTCAGTGTGTTCTCACATGAAATTCTACCTCTTCTTTTTTTCAGATGTTTCATTCCATCTACCTGTCCCTAGATTACAGGTTCAAAGCAGTCCATTAGCAGGACCAGTGGTATCACACGGGGAGTTTGTACAATCAGAGTACTACAATCCTACTCATCAATGCATGCTGTACTAGCGCATACCGCCTTGATGTGTGCAGGGCCATGCAAGGACTCGAGGTACTATACACGCAGGAACTGTAGTTTCATCGTCACTGTCACTTTATACAGTTTCAAGAAAAAGTATGTGAACCCCTTGGGATTACGTTGAGTTTTGCATGAATTGGGCATAAAATGTGCTCTGAAAGTCACAACAATAGAAGAACACAGTCTGCTGAACATAATACTACACAAACATTAGATGTTGCCATGGTTTAATTGCACATAACATGTAAACATTCACAGTGCAGGGAGGAAAACCTATGTGAGGCCCTAGCTTAATGACTTCTCCCACAGCTAATTGGAGCCAGGAGTGAGCCAACCTTGACTCCAATCAGTGTGATGATATTGGATGTGTTGCTGACAGCTGTCCTGCCCGTAAAAAACACACACCTGTTTTGAGTTTACTGGTTTCAAGAAGCACTGTCTGATGTGAACCATGCCTCGCAGAAAAGAGCTCTCAGAAGACCTACGATCAAGAATTGTTGACTTGCATGAAGCTGGAAAGGGTTACAAAAGTATCTCCAAAAGCCTTGATGTTCATGTGTCCATGGTAAGACAGACTGTCTACAAATGGAGAAAGTTTAGCACTGTTGCTACTCTCCCTAGGCATGGTCGTCCTGTAAAAATGACTGCAAGAGCACAGCGCAGAATGCTGCATGAGGTAAAGAAGAATCCCAGAGTGTCAGCTAAAGACCTACAGAAATCTCTGGCACATGCCAACATTTTTGTTGACACATCTACAATAAGGAAAACATTAAACAAGAATGAAGTACTTGGGAGGACACCACGGAGGAAGCCATTGCTGTCCAAAGAGAATATTGCAGCACATTTGAAGTTTGCAAAAGAGCACCTGGATGTTCCACAGCACTACTGGCAAAATATATTGTGGACAGATGAAACCAAGATTGAGTTGTTTGGGAAGAACACACAACACTATGTGTGGAGAAAAAAAGGCACAGCACACCAACATCAAAACCTCATCCCCACTGTAAAACATGGCGGAGGGAGCATCATGGTTTGGGGCTGCTTTGCTGCCTCAGGGCCTAGACGGATTGTTGTCATTGATGGGAAAATGAATTCCAGAGTTTATCAAGACATTTTGCAGGAAAACGTACGACCATCTGTCCGCCAACTGGAGCTCCGCAGAGGATGGGTGATGCAACAGGACAATGACCCAAAGCATACAAGTAATTCAACAAAACAATGGCTGCAACAGCACAGAATACGCCTTCTGGAGTGGCCCTGTCTGAGTCCTGACCTCAACCCGATTGAAATGCTGTGGCATGACCTTAAGAGAGCGATTCACACCAGACATCCCAAGAATATTGCTACACTGAAACAGTTTTGTGAAGAGGAGTGGTCCAAAATTACTCCAGATTGTTGTGCAGGTCTGATCTGCAACTACAGGAAACGTTTGGTTGAGGTTATTGCTGCCAAAGGAGGGTCAACCAGATATTAAGCCCAAAGGTTCACATACTTTTTCCTCCCTGCACTGTGACTGTTTACATGTTATGTGCAATTAAACTATGGCAACATCTAATGTTTGTATAGTATTATGTTCAGCAGACTGTGTTCGTCTATTGTTGTGACTTAAGATGACGTTCAGAGCACATTTTATGCCCAATTCATGCAAAACTCCACGTAATCCCAAGGGGTTCACATACTTTTTCTTGCAACTGTAAGTGATTGTGCATGTGTGTCTGAAGCACTGGTGCATATAAATGGAAGTTCAAGGAGATGTGTGCACGTTTTAATAGGATAAAGCTTCCTGTCAGCCAAAATATTTTTTTTATAAAACAGACCAGTGGCCCATTTATCAAGAGCACAGACTGCAAAAATATTCATTTAAATTTGGGGGTTTAGTGCTACTGTAAGGCCCCATTCACATTAGCAAACGGGGTAACAATTTCTCAAACAGCGATTACCTGCAAATGATCAGCCGTGCATGCAGACAGACTGCGTTCAAGGCCAATCATTTACAGGTAATCAATATCTGAGGGATTCATGAGAGTGTCCACAAATAGCTGCTGAAGCTGTCAGCCTCCCATTGCTTTCAGTGGGGCTTCCCGCTCACACATAACTCACAAAGAACCCCCATCGCAAGTGTGGATGTTCCCTAAGGGTCTATACACACTGTTTCACTTTGCCTGTGTTTTGAAAAAAAGAGAAAATTAAAGGCCGGTTCACACCATGCCAGCACCTGAATCGCACAGAAACACACTAGTGCATTCCTGTGTGGTTCAACCTGCATGCAAAACGCACTGCTTTTGTGATCTGCAGCAGGTATCAATAAAAATTTAATGACACCCCAAATGCAGATCACAAACACAGTGCGTTTGTCCACACCTGCCCACATTACTTTTGTAGCATGCAATGTGGTTACAGTGGGTTTTAAAAAGTAGTGCTTGCACTACTTTTGGTGTGGTGCGATTTTAGCCCATTCAAAATGAATGGGCTTGAAATCCCACCACACAGAGCCGCATGTGAATCGCACAAGAACGCACAGTACATTCCTGTAAGTCAGCTCCGGGCATGGTGTAAACCATCCCTAAAGGTGAATATGATAAACATGTATAAATACAAAGGTGGTCCAGATCGTGAACTTGGTGTAGAGATATTCACGTCAGGGTCATCACAGAGGACAAGGGGGGACACTCTTTACGTAAGGAGGAAAGGAGATTTAATCTCCAAATACGGAAATACTTCTTCACTGTAAGAGCTGTGAAAAGGTAGAATAGACTCCCTCAAGAGCAGGTTCTGGTTAGCTCAGTAGATTGTTTTAAGAATAGCCTGGATTATTTCCTAAATGCACATAATATAACTGGATACTAATTTGTATAGGTAAAGATCCAGGGAATATCTGATCCAAATCTGAAACCGCTCCCACTTCTGCTGCGATCGCCTAGACGATCGGAAGCGGAAGTTGTCCTCCTACCCTCCCTCCCCGTAGTCTTCTGGGACACGTGACAGGTCCCAGAAAACTATGGGGCCATTCAGGAAGCGCAGTGCTATATGCGCAGTGGGCATCCGGCTGTGAAGCCAAATGCTGTCAAAGCTGGGTGCCCACACTGAAGATGCCAGCGCCTGGAACATCAGACAGCTGGTGAAATGGGCTGTGGGGAGGACACCGCGGGATCGTGGGACAGGTAAGTGGCTGTTCTTTTAAAAGTCAGCAGCTACAGTTTTTGTAGCTGCTGGCTTTAGTTTTTCACAATGCGACTGGAACTCCACTTTAACTACACTATATTACTAAAAGAATTGTGATGCTTGCTTTTACACGCACATGAACTTTAATGGCATCCCAGTCTTAGTCCGTAGTTTTCAATATGGAGTTGGCCCACCCTTTGCAGCTATGACAGCTTCAACTCTTCTGGGAAGGCTGTCTACAAGGTTCAGGAGTGTGTCTATGGGAAAGTTTGACTATTCTTCCAGAAGCGCATTTGTGAGGTCAGGCACTGATGTCGGACGAGAAGGCCTGGCTCGTAGTCTCTGCTCTAATTCACCCCATAGGTGTTCCATCGGGTTGAGGTCAGGACTCTGCAGGTCAGTCAAGTTCCTCCACCCCAAACTCGCTCATCCATGTGTTTATGAACCTTGCTTTGTGCACTGGTGTGCAGTCATGTTGGAACATTAAGGGGCCATCCCCAAACTGTTCCCACAAAGTTGGGAGCATAAAATTGTCCAAAATGTCTTGGTATGCTGATGCCTTAAAGTGTTCCCTTCACTGGAACTAAGGGGCCAAGCCCAACCCCTACCCCTGAAAAACAACTCCACACCATAATTCCCCCTCCACCAAACTTTACACTTGGCACAATACAAGTACTGTTCTCCTGGCAACCGCCAAACCCAGACACGTTCATCGGATTGCCAGACAGAGAAGAGCGATTCATCACTCCAGAGAACACTTTCCACTGCACCAGTGGTGGCGTGCTTTACACCACTGCATCCAACACTTTGCATTGCACCTGGTGATGTAAGGCTTGGATGCAGCTGCTCAGCCATGGAAACCCTATCCACGAAGCTCTCCTTGCACTGTTGTGCTAATCTGAAGGCCACACAAAGTTTGGAGGTCTTTAGCTATGGACTCTGCAGACAGTTGGTGACTTCTGCTCACTGTGCGCTTTAACATGAGTTGACCCCGCTCTCTCATGTTATGTGGCCTACCACTTCGTGGCTGACTTTGTTGTTCCCAGTTGCATCTACTTTGTTAGAATACCACTAACAGCTGACTATAGAATATTTAGTAGTAAGGACATTTCATGGAAGGTGGTAACCTATCACAGCACCACGCTTGAATTCACTGACCTCCTGAGAGCAACCCATTCTTTCACAAAATGTTTGTAGACACAGTCTGCATGCCTAGGTGCTTGATTGCATACACCTGTGGCCATGGAGGTGATTGGAACACCTGAATCCAATGATTTAGAGGGATGTCCCAATACTTTTGGCAATATAGTGTACGTACCATAGGCCAAAAGTCATACTGACGGTCATGTAGTCACACGGT